TTTCAACTGAATGTAGGATCAGAGATTAACCCTCAGGGAAGGAAAAGGGCTCCCTTGAGGAACAATCACAGGGCTCCTGCAAACAAGTGACCTGTTCTTCAGTCAAGGTAACAGATATTTCTGTAAACTAGTTGGCTATTCCAGCCTCAGCCTGCTGTCCACTGTCTCCTGTTAGAAGTCCAGAAGTTTAATAATCTCGTATCCTTTCCAGTAATCCTTAAGTCAAAACTGGAAATAGTAATACTTGCTGTATTGACTCTTTGGTTGAAGTTCTGATTAACAGCTGTTGGCCACATGATGGACTTCTGCAAAGGCTGATGGCCAAAGCAGTCTCTAAACACAAAAAAAGCAGCCACAAAACTGCAACAGCAACAAGCAAAACAGCCACGGATGCCCAGTTCCCCTCTCTGCACCTCTCACATCCACAGGATCTTTAAACCAGACACCCCTATAGCTGAGTAGCCTCAAAGTCAACTGGAAATTCACTCAAGTCTTGCTACTGTAGTGGTTCAAACCTGTCAGGAAGCTGGAACTGTTTGTTCCATAGAGAAAAGATTTTTAGCAGGAAGATTGAATCTTTAAAGATACATTTTTGTATTTCTCATCACTGAAAGGAACACAGAACAGGTAGGTACTAAGGTATCTTCTGCTCTTATACTCTCATCTCTGTGATTACAAAACCAAGTCTCAGTTTTATTGTAGCCACATGCAGGAGTGACATGTCACCTACTGTGATCTTATTTTCAGTGCTGATGGGAGGAGCAGGATCCAGTCCAAGCTGAAGCCGTCGCTGCTTTTCACAATATGCTTTCCATGTTTCTTCATTGAATCCATAGTTAAAGTAATCAGAAAGATCAGCACCTGACAAAGGGAGTAGAAGTTAGCGTAGGGATTCTAGCAGACTTGCATTCTCAAATTGTCCTTTAACTACTTAAATGAAGAGTCAAGAAACAAAAATCTTCTAGAGAGGATGATGCGGATGAAGAAATGACCAACACCGAGATGTCTTCAGGCATCAGCACTTTACTGAAGCTTTGCACTGCTTATATATCCTTTTTTCCTCCAGCACGCCCCAAGCACGCGGCACTCTTTCACTTTTCATTCATTACCCCTTATCACACACGCGTCTAAACAACTGACATGATTGCATAAATCCACCTATTCATGAGCCATTCTTTTACTTCTGACTGGTTACTAATTTTGGCACATAAACAATCTCTTATCTTGTCTCACACATTCTTTCTTGTTATTCTGTTTTTTGTTGTTTATTTTATCTTTGCTCAAGGTCAGGAATTAATTGCTCAAGGCTGAGGCCGCCTGCAGCTTCAGCTCTTAAAGCACCAACAAGAGGACAGCTTACTCTCCATTTCATTCTGTCAGAACGCTGCTGGGTGCCACAGCGGAGATGGCTGCATCTTTCTGTGGGAAGGGGACCACAATCTGAACAGCAGTGGGACCCTTTGGGACACAGAATACAGCACATACCCAGCCTATTAAAGAGATGCTTCCAACCACTTATTCACCAACCAGACTTTTTCAAACTGATTTCTCGCAATTGTCCAGGAGTTGAGTGCTGCGGAGAGCACAGGAATGACGGTTCCACCTACCACCACAAAAATGGATGGTGCCACAGAACCTTCCTCTTGGGCAGAGCTAAGCCAACACATTCCACTCCTGACCATCAGTTGCCTTTGCTGTTTTCTCTTGAGAAGAGATTTTGGGACTTGACCACTTCATGAAACAGGGCTAAAGTGGAAGTTTTTAATTGATATGTCTCAGATTACACAAGTAATTACAGTTCAGATCCTAGCTATAGCCTACCAAGTTTGTTATCTTACTTTGACAGTTTTCTGTGAAATGTGCCAATTTAGCATGAGCACTTCTGAATGAAAGAGGTGGCTACAAACTGCCTGCCAAGAAAACGGAGATGCAGAGGGATAAACATAGCTGCAACTAACTGTGAGGAATATAAGGCATACCTCACAACAGGAAGCCTTACAAAGCGTCTCCTAGCCCTGCTGAGGTGTCCCTCAAACATCCCCTTCACAAAGGTATTCCTAGACAGACCAAGTCTAAAACAAAGAGCTGATACATAAGGGCTCAGCAAAACACTTTGACCATGCTGAGCTTGGATCTATTCAGTGAGGTTTAAGTTTATCTTCCAGGTAGGCCACTCTTCCTGTTGTACCACCTAAATATGCAAATTTCACCACCAGAGACTCGGCAACACAATATTTACATATCTATTTTATCAGCCCTCTATCAGTTCTTCCAGACCATATTTCTTCTTTCTCTTCCTCACTTAAAGAGATACAAACTTGCAGAACAATTAACTGTAAAGGATATAAACCTGAAAGGCTGTTGAGTACACAAGCTATTTGCCATCTAAATTAAACTTGCAGGCCACACACCTCTGCAGACATCTTCCCTCTATTCATACCTCCACACTTCTAAGGCTAAATGGCTCCGTTTTGGTCCAGGGATGCCAGCATGACCACAATGATTTCCATGCTTCATCTATGAACTTCACTTCATCAGATTCCTTCTAACTTGTTTTCTTCCTAGTCCCCCTCTTTCTCACTTGACAAACAATGGGAAATCCCCTGCAGAAAAAAGGCTCCGCTTTCTGTACTGTCTGTACTAGCTACTGATCATCAGGGAGAGCTTTAGTGCCAGTGTGATACCATGACACATCAATGTCATTATTAGAGTTGTTATATACTCTGATGTCCTTCATTTCAGGAAGGCAAGAGATACCAAAACCACACCACAGACAACTTTATAAAAACGCTACTTACTTAGTGTAGCAGTATTTCTGAAAGATAAATAAATCCCAGGGGCTGGCAGGGAGAAGAATTATTTCTGAGAAGAGGCAAGTGGATTTTTTGCTTCAGTTAACATTTCATCATAGTATGTTTTACAAGAGTAGCACAGCAAAACTTTGGATCTCTTTGGTTCCTGCGTTTACTTTTCTATCTAATTCAGATGAAACCCAGAAGTTTATTTGTAGCATCCTACAGCTGTCATGGAAGAGGCACTTCTGAGTAGAAATCGCCCCAATATTAATCAGGAAGACAAAAGAGACTATGTACATATTAAAACCCGCTGTGCAACGTACTATTTGTCTGGACACAGTCTAGATAATACTGTCTAGAAGAAATAAGCAGGGACTGCTCACTGACAGTTACGCACCTAGGGTAAGAATACAGCAAAGGCAGAGAGATGGCTTTCCTATCGTGACGTGTTCATGTGGTAATTCCCCTCACTGCCCTCTGCAAGGGGTACTGTCCTGCAAAAGTGTGGACATCCCCAGGACCCACTTGAGAAGGGTGCATAGGGACAACTCTGAGCTTGGCCATGGTGAGACAGAACAGGCAAGCTGCTGCACATGAAGATAAGACCACACATCATCAACAGTCAAATCCTGATCCTACTCAATTGACTTTAAGGCCAACAAACATTATCGCAGTGCAGTATTTTCTGTAACTAAGGAATGAATGAAATAGAACATTACAAAAAACAGTTGATCCCTTTAGGGCAGGTAAAGTAACAGAGTAAATGCAACCCAATTTTAGGCAGAAGCATGGCTTGATCAATCAGTAAACGTCATTGATTGTCTAAGCAGGCATCAGAGGCTGATCAATACGCAGTTGTTACAACTTCCCTGTTCCCTGGCAGCAATAAATGAACAGAAATCACATGTGAAATTAAAAAGAGACAACTAAAAGTGCAGAAAATAGTTACCACAAGAAACTGTGAGGACCTACCTGGTTTCCTCCAGGGTTTGTCTTCAAATGAATCTAAATCCACTTCTATAACAGGCAATCCGTTTATATTCCCTGCAGCATCTAAGTCAATACCTTTGGGCTGCAACTTGGCTTTGGAGAGAGAGAAACCATTACTACTTTTAATGCAATGCCTTTAATTCACTCATTTGCTGAGGAAATTACTCCAACCAAAAATAAAGCACTACTGTGAATTCATTGCTGGCTTTACAGCACAAAGTTAATCACAATCAACTTTTTAATAAAAAATACTTTGGTCACTCTATAAATAAATAGCCAGGGTATTGCAGCTAAACAGCAGAGAAGCAAATTCCACCCAGACTGATACTACAGACAAACTGAGTAAATTATGAGAGCGGAGCATGCATGAAATTTACCCCAAATGAAAAAAAAAAAAAAAAAAATTCTCCCCAGGCAAAATATTTATTTTTTCCCTCCCAAAATACACACATTTTCTCATAACAAGAGACTTTTTCAGGATGAGTCTAAAGTGGACCGTGTACTAACTGGAGTCAGCACAAATCTGTCGGGTACAGAATCTTCAAGGGGAAACTGTTCTTATTTTCTCAATCAGAAGAAAGTCTTTTGCATAAAGAAATTAATGGAAGTAAGTATATGAAGAACAGTCTCACATGTGAGGAAGGACAGAAACCAAATCCCAATATACAGTATAAACTAAACTGAGTGGTGGGGAAAATTTCATCTGCAGAAATATGCATACCTGCTACTCAAGGTCAGAGTTTGTTTCTTCTAGTATCTTACAATGCAAGTAGTTCAGTGTACTGACCACAGAGTTAAAAAGTTTTTCTCCAGGCAACTTAAAATGTTTGGCCCCAGTGCAAGAATACAGGTAAAAGTAATAATCAATTTACTTTTTTCCTAGTTTAAACAAAATTATAATCAGCTTGTTCAGTGATGGGTAATTAAATCACTCCATCACACCCTGCACCCTCAGAGTGTTCTAAGTGTATTTATCTTTAGGAAAAGCAGTTACTATTCCTACTTTAAATAAGATGCACTAATTTTACATCCTTCCAAACAAAGACCAAGATTTGCTGCTGCTCCAGTTGCCAGTGCCAGATAAGTGAAATATTGTAAAATGTGAAGGATAAAAATAACAGCAATACCTGAAGCAGTTGCTCCATAGCCTCTACCCGTTTTTAAGTTTAGATTCATAGGAGTTCCCCTATATGGAAAAGAATCACTACGTTGGTATTTGAACAAATTACTTGGTTGAAGATATTAATGCAAAATATATTCAAGCCTTGATATCCTTCAGGAGATGCTCAGTTCACTTGGGTTTATTCATGCCTCTCTACGACTTTTAGTACTAAGTCTCAACACCTTAAAAGTGAGGTTCATTTGCCACATAAGTTTCCCTAACCCTACAGAAACCCAGCAAACGTACTTACTGACCAACAACAGAACACAAGAGGATTGTCTTGAACCTGAAGGGACAGGCTGTTTCAAAGGGTGGCAGTTACCATTCTGACCAGGAATGTACTTAAGTGTTTAAATGGAACTGAACAACGTGGAAATCACAGCTGCACATAGAGCACAGCATGAGGTGAGAAAGGGAGAAGCAGCAGATTTCGAAAAGAATGTCTGCAAAATCTAGTGAGCTGCTAACGGATGGAGCATTGCTATTCAGAGCAACTCATCAGCCTGAAACCACCTCTGCAACAAGAAAAGGAAATTATCCATAAAGTAGAAAAATAAGAACATGCTGCAAAGCACATCAAAGTAATTTCCTTAAGAGAAAGGCTGCTAGCAGCAAGCAAAAATGCTGCCTTATTATTTTTATTCAATGCAAATAAGGTACAATTTTAAGTCAGTGACATAATTTCCTGGTTGACAAATCCAGCCTCACCATTTCTGAATCATGAAAAATCGTAACACTTGAAAATTAGTAAATTCACAGCTTATGCAAATTCTTATCAATACAGATTTTGGTTCTTGAAGCTTTCACAGATGACAAGTTAAATACAACTTCCCACCTCTGATTTTGCCCGATGAAGCACAGTAATCATTTGGTTAATTTTCCAACATCAGATTGATGAATTATCATTCCTATTTTTAAAAACGGATTCTCCGACAAGCAATTGCAGGACAGAGCTGCCCATCAGTTTCTAATCCCATTCTGGTGTTCTGGCTGTTACTCCCATGTCTCCCAGAACACTGATCAGCTCTTGTCCTCACTTTCAATCCAAATCAACACACTAGAGCTACCTCAGATCAACAACAGACACCGCAGTCAGCAATACATACATGTATGATGGTGCTCCTGTTTTAATGTTGCCAATAGTAACTTTCACGTCGTCATCATCACTGTCGCTATCACTGTCATCTTCATCATCTTCACCACTTGGAAGGGCCTAGCAACAGTAAAAGCACACAGGAGCTCATTAATACATAATATATTTATGGTTGGAGTTAATGATCTTAAAGGTCTTTTCCAACCAAAAGTATTCTATGATTCTAAAAGTGATAAATTCCCAGGGACAGTAAGCCAAATCTTACAGATCTTGTATGATGAAGGACTATTAGAAATAATTATTCTGATATAAAGACATAACTTTCTGCTGCACTCCAAGGCTGTACAAAGTTGTCTTTGGAAGCAAAAACCACGGAAGTAACCAGCCTTCAACATAAATGGACAGGTGCCCACAAAGAAACTGCTATGTCCTTTGAAGAAGTGATCCTACATGAGAATCAGGGTAACATTTCTGAAGGTGGGGAAGGTTTAGCTCGGTTCTAAGAATTTCATCATGTCCCAGGTTCCTCTACCCTACTCTCTTTGAAAGAGCTAGGACTTTTCTGACCCATCTCCCTCATGGGTCCACGGTGAAAGTACACAATCACAAATAAATTCACCAGGCTTCACCTAAGAACCTTGGAGCAAACATTCTTGCATCACAGCTTTTGTGGTAGGAAGCCTCTGAGGAGCTCAGTTTGGCTTATTTAGCACAATCAGTCCCCAAATCACTAAATTTACATAAAAACTTTACAGCTGCTGATTCGACTCCAGTGCAGCACCACTGTTGCAGCACAATAGCAAAGCAAGTCTTCCAGATATCCAGCAGCGCAGTTTTGCAAGATGCATGAGCTGAATTAACATCTCACCACTACAAAAGGGTATGAGGAAAGTGTTCCTAACCCTCTCTCCTTTTCCACAGCACATTGGTTTGTCAGAATTCTGCATGAGCCCTCGACATATCAGAGTGGCAGAAAATAAATCCAGCAAAAAAACTAGACAAGAGGGGGTGGAGAAGCAAGCCTCCTCCTACTCTTTCAGCACTGAGCCACTAGATTACGTTCTAAGAGGTCTGAAGCTGAATCAAAACTGACTCCCAGCACTTTGGGCTTTCTATCCCAGTGTTTCCCATATTTTACTGACCCTTGAGAAGTCATACTAAATATTGAGCTGGAGGTAACATCATGTTCTGCTTTTCTTGCCAGGCTGCAGCATCAGAGGCCCTCATCTGTCTCTTCAGCAGGCATAAGCAATACTTAGATTCACTACCCACCACACAATGTAGGCTGAGAAGCCTGTTGCTGTAGCTGGCATTGGGAACTGACTACCAGTACATTCCTACAGTAGAAATGTAACGTACTAGGCAGTTTCAGCATCTGTAATCTTGTATCTTTTTTATCCATGAGTATCAAGAAGCACAAAAATAACCGTTTGCAGTGGAACACATACATGTTGCGACATCTCTCGGTCTTCATTGCTGACAGGCCGGTTCTCCTGAGGAGCATCTTGCAAAGGATGAGAAGATTCTGCATGTCTAGTAAATGTGACAGAGAAAAGAAAGTGGACAAGGTATATAGAGGTTTACCTATAAACACTGCACAAGCATTCATCCAGGTGACTTTTGTATAATGGTTTGATTCATGTAGTGTGTTTATTCTGCTGGCAGTTAGCTCAACTATAGGACAAAAAAATAATCAGCCTTGCTTGGCTTTGCTTTTGTTGGAAAGAATCAGTTTAGTGCTTCCAAAGTTCAGCACAAACACAACTGCTAGGAATAAGACCATAATAAGCAAAGCTTCACCTTGTCCTTAAGGATGCTCATAATTATACTTGTATTTAATAGCCAGCGAGGGCATCTGTCCTACAGAGATTAAGGAAAAAGTTATTTTAGTGTTGCTACAAATAGTTTACATTAATAAGTAGTTAAAATTCAAAGAAGAAAAGACAGATAATCATCCACCCAATCTTCTCATTCATTACCAATTAGTCCTAATGCAACAACAGTCAGGTTCAGATTTACCTCCATTTAGAGTTTGTACAAATGTTAACGTTTTTTAATGCATTAGCCAAGCAAGAAAGTCAATCTGGTATACACATGCTAGGAAAGAGTATGCTGTGTAACAAAACTAAAATACAAAGAGATATAATTTTTTTCTAATGTCAGAGGTGAAACCTAGTAGAACTTCAAAATAATTCTGACTTTTCAAAAGAGACAATGAGAATAGCCCAGAAAACACAATTCTCTGCCAGTACTTTGTGAAGATGTTGCTATTACTTTGAAATCCCATGTTGGATAATAAACATACGTAATATTATCTTCAAAAAGAAACATATTTAACACCTAAAAGAATCCAAACACTGGTCAGATTAAAGCCATTTCAGAGGCAGCAGGAGAGTAAGACAAAAGACCACGCAACTCGGAAAGCAGTTCACATAAAAAAAGAACAAATGAACAATTTGAGCAGATACTGAAGGTCCCATATCAGAAAAGCCCCGTACACAAGGAAGTTCAACAATCAAGCCTAGATCAAAAAAGAAGGGTTTTTAAACCAAAGAACTAGAGGTCCCATTTTTGCCAAGTTCCTGAGGTGACAGCTGAAGACACTTGAAATTACAAAAAGCAGCCAAGATGTCTAAGAGCCTCTACAAGTATTTCAAAGTTGCAGACACAGGCTATTGCATAAGGATCAGAAGATGTACCACAGGAGAAAATCTCACAGATGGCTCCAACATAAGGATCAGAAGATGTACCACAGGAGAAACTCTCACAGATGGCTCCAGAACCTTTGGCATTTTGTTTGCCAAATCCAAACAACTCATAACATTGACCTCAACCCTGGAATTTTCTTAAGAATCCAAGATGACTGAATTAAGGAAGAGTCACAAGTATTACCTTCAGCTTCAAGTCACATGAAGTATCTGTGGGTGTGCATTAAAATTTGTGAATTGGAGTTCA